ATGTCTTTGGATTGCTGCACAAAGTCGATTTTGAAAATCAGCTGGATGCTCGTCAGGATTTTGTTTGCAAATTTCTACTTTTGTCCAATCTACATGAGTCTGAGCTACTCTGGTAATGGCGTTTAGCAAAGTAGCTCTAGCATTTTGCACATTTTGCAGTCCTTGATTTTCTTCATAATTGTAATCATTTTGTGGCCAAGGGGTGCCATCCGGAATATTCCTAGTTTCTGCAATTAGGAGTCGTTTTTGTTCTGGATTTAACAGACTATTTAAGAGCCAGTTTACATCAGACACAGTGGGATTGTAAATACTAAAGACCTGCTGCAACTTATCTCTAAAATCAGAAGGGCTTTCTCTGAGTTTTGGAAAGGTATTACAAAAGGTAGTGATATCACTAGCAGTCCAAGGGACATGAACTACAGTCCATTGGCCTCCTGGTATTTGAGGCGGGTATTGTCGCAATGGGCAGAGAACAGTTGACTTAAAATACTGCGGGTCTCCGAAGGTGGTTACAATCAATCTTCCTCCCTCTTGGGCATATAGGGTTATTACAGTCTGCCCATTTGAACCTCTTTGGATATTCTTCACCTTGTATAAGGGTCTTAATTCAGACTTTACATTTTTCTTAACTTCTCGCATACTAGGTAGGTAATCATCATCGGAGTCTAAATTAATTGAAACTGGGGGAGAAAGCAGGCTTGCCGGTGGCTCTGTAGCTGAACAGCTAGCTGCAGCAGCAGGAGGAGCAGGGTTGACTATTTGGGCAGGAGGAGGAGGAACAGGACTAGGTACCCAGGAATCTAGTAGGTCTTCTGTATCTTGTTGGGTGCAGGTAAAGTTGGGTGCCGGAATACTAGGGTAAAGGTTTTTATATGTTGGAAGGCAATTTGGAGCCGGTGGAACGCTAGGGTTTCTCTCTTTTATAGGAGGCTGAGCCAATTTTTCCTCCTTTAATGTAGCCAATTGCCTTTTTAATTTATCATTAGAATCTCTGAGACTAGTCTCAATAGATTTTTGTTTTCTTTTCGAAGC